GCCGGAGGAGGAGGAGGAGGAGGAGGAGGAAGGGAGGGGGAGGAGGAGGAGGAGGAGGAGGAGGCGGAGGAGGAGGAGGAGGAAGGAGGAGGGGGGGGGGGGGGGGGGGGGGGATGGGGGAGGGAAGGAGGGGCGGAGTCGATGGGGGAGGTGGAGGAAGGAGTAAACGGAGGAAACGGAGGAGGAGGAGGAGGAGGAGGAGGAGGAGGAGGAGAGGAGGAGGAGGAGAGGAGGAGGAGAGGAGGAGGAGGAGGAGGAGGAGGAGGAGGAGACGGAGAGGAGGAGCGAGGAGGAGGAGGAGGAGGAGGAAGGGGAGGAGGAGGGAGGGGGGGTGGGGGAGGAGGAGGAGGAGGAGGAGGAGGAGGAGGAGGAGGAGGAGGAGGAGGAGGAGGAGGAGGAAGAGGAGGAGGAGGAGGAGGAGGAAGGAGGAATAGCATAACTTTTTCCCCTGCCTCACCTCCTTCGCCTCGCTCCTCATCCTCCCCCCCCGTGCTCCTCTTCTCTCCCCCTCCTCCCTCCCCCTCCTTCTTCCTCCTTCTCCTCCCTTTCCTCCTCCCTCTCCTCTTTCTCCTCCTCCTCCGTGTGGACTGTCTCCAGGACCAGCTGGCCCGCACCAAGCGAGAGCAGGACAAGCAAGCCGAGGATCAGCGCAGGATGTGGACTCAGATCGACAAGCTGCGCGACATGATCGCCCTCGCCGACGTACAGGCCCCCATCGCCGATCTTTCCAAGCTTGCCGAGTGGGACAGATCGCCAGACGCTACCCTGTTCGCCATTGGCTCACAGCGGCTCGTTGCCCCAAATGCCGTCCTCAACGACCTGCAGGAGTGGATCGGTGCTGCTGGACTCCAGCACGACCATGTCGAACTTCATGGAGATGAGCCCGCACGGCGCTTCATCCTCCAGGTCAAGGGCAACAGGGAGGTGGCCATCCCACGGGCGCTCGCCCTTCAACGTGCTCTTCGGGACGCCGCGGGCCGATGGCGGCGCTTCCACACCGTCGACACCAACGACATCCACACCGACATCTACGTCAACCCCGACAAGTCGCCGAAACAGATCCGTGCGGAAATCCAGTGCAAGAAGCTGCGCCTGCTCTTGTCGCAGAAGTATCCGCAGCTACGCTGGCGTGCCATCCGCTCCAATGGCGAGATCCACTGCGACGCGGTGCCGCTGGTACGCCCCAACAGCAAAAAGGCCAAACTCATCAAGTTCATGGGGGCCAAGCAGGCGATCCTCTTGCAAGAAGTCCACGGCTCGGAGACGCTCGTCCGCACTTGGCTAGGCACGCAGCCGTACCCGTGCAAGCTGTTCTTCTCCGAGTTCCGCGCTGACCCACCCACGCAGCAGTATGCAGCGGGCGGTGCCGCGATCCTCATCCCATGGTTCACGCCCGCGCAGCCCGCCCAACTCCGCCCTGAGCAGCACCCAGTATTCTAACATGATCCTCTGGTGCCAGGCCGCGTCCAGCAGCTCGCCATCAGCAACGCCATCTCTGACCAGCACCTGGTCATCATGAACGTCCACGACCATGAGCTCGACGCGCGTGGTCGTGACAGGGTCCGCGCTGCGTGGTCCTGTCACCGTGGCGGGGCAGCCGTCGACTACACCAAGCGTACCTTCATCGCGATGGGGGACTTCAGCGCGGCCAGCCGCCCGCCCAACAGCTTCCTCCAGCCGCGGGCTACCCGTGCCCGCCTCCTCCTGGACAGTAACAGCCGCCAGCAGCAAGCTTTCTGGAAGGCCCTGTTTGACGCCATGCTCGAGGTCGGGGCTGAGCTCCCTACGCGCTTCAACAAGGCGGACTACACCGCCTCCTCGACCGACCGCGTCTTCATCAGTCCCCCCTCGCATGCGACGCAGGGGCTCTCCATCGCCGTCCACGTCCTCCACGGCGCGGCCGCCCTGTCTGATCAGCGCCTCAGCGACCACGCGGTCATATCGTTCACGATTGGCATCAAGCCGCGCACGCCGCCTGCTGAGCAAGCCACCCCCCCGGCCGTCTTTCGGGGCCCGAACTGCGCGGTCTACTTGCAGAAGCTCATTGACGCGTCCACAATGCCGCACAACTCAGTCGAGAACCGCTGGCGCTCTCATATGACCAAGATGACTGAGGCCGCCCGCGTGGTCAGGGGCGACTGGGTCCGCATCGGCACAGGCGACGCTGCTCCATCTCGAGGGCGATCTGGCGCCAAGACGTCACGCTCGAACGTTGCCTTCATGCCACCGCGGACCTGGGCAAGCGCTTCCTCGACTTCTCCACGCCCGCCATCAAGCTCACCGGCAACGTCAGCTTCGCGACCGTGTCGGCCGCCCTGCGCCGCGACTTCGAGGCTCGCCAGCGCTCTCTGGCACGGCAGGCAGCGAGGCTCCCGCGGAGCCATCCCGACGCCCTGCCCCCCGAGAAACTTCGGAAGGCCCTACGGGCCTCCCAGACATGCGCTCTCCTGTGGGCCTTGTGGAAGCGTCGGCTCGTCCTTCAAGGGGTCAACACCGCAGGCCTTGCAGGCCCAGCAGCTGTCGCCAGAGAGAGCGGCCCGATGGTGGGCGCCCTCCTCTCCCGCTGACAGTCCGTCTTCGCAGCCAAGAAGGTCGACGCCGATGCCGTGCACGAGTGCGTCGAGACACACATGCCACAGGGCGACCTGATCGACGTGATCGACTGCCCGCGACCACTCGCCGGGTATTCTCGAGGACCTCGCCTGCTTCCTCTGCTCGGGCGACTCCATCCCACGCGGCCTGAACGACTCCGACTTTGCCTTCCTGCCGAAGGGTGGCAACCTTCTGGGTGAGCTGACCGCAGATCGCCGCCCCGAGGACACCCGCCCGCTCTCCTCGAAGGACGCGGACATCAAGGCTATCGCAGGAGCAGCGAACAACTTGATCAAGCAGCATGTCGCTGAACGCACTCATTCAGCTCAACAGGGTTTCGTGGCTGGAAGGAACTTCGCGCAGCACATCGTGCGCCTGGATGCCGAGATGCGCCGCGTCGGCCTCCTCGAGAACGCGATGCAGGCGCGCCCAGTCTTCATCAGCTTCGACTTCGCCGCCGCGTTCCCGTCCCTGGGCAGAACCTGGCTCTTCAAGGCGCTCCACCGCTTCGGCTTACCTGCAGGTTTCATGAGCCTCTTCCGTGCTCTGTGCTACGCACCCACGTCCTCAGTCAAGGTGGGCGGCGTCCGTCACGAGATGTTTGCGATTGAGTCGGGACTTGTGCAAGGCTGCTCAGCTAGTGGTTCAGTATGGGCGATCGCAGTAGACCCGATCATACGCCGCATCGCCCTCGTCATCTCCCGCGTGGATCCTGGCTGCGACCCGCGCTCCAACTACCTGGGGGCACGCGCCGATGACAGTGGCCTCCTGTGCGGTTCCTTCGGCGTCGTGAGCAGAGTGAATGAGCCCTTTGATGCGGCCGCCCGCCTCGCTCTGTTGTCGCTTGAGCCTCGCAAGTTTGTCGTCGTCCCGCTATGGGATGCCGCCGCGCCTGCCGTCGTCGCCCAAACTCAGGCCCTGCTGTCGGAGTTTTCCCCCGCGTGGTCTGGCCTCTCTGTTTCTGGGCGGGCTGGATACCTTGGGGCCTTCCGTGGACCCGCCGCCTCGCTGGCTGATGAATGGCACGCCCCTGGGCAAATAATGGTGGCAGCGGGCGAACTTGCTCAATTTAGTGCAGTCTGGCAGTGATGCCGCTGAGGCTCCATAACACGTCGGTGCTCTCGACGCTAAGCTATGTTGCCCAATTCTATCATGTGCCCACCTCTATTTCACAGAATGAACATTACATTTTTCATAGGGTGTTGAGTCTGCCGCCGAACACGTTCCGCAAGGTTGACCTTCTAGCGATGGCAGACTGGTCTCCGCCAACTGTCCTGCGCTCAATGCAAGTTATGTCAGTATCGGCCGCTGCTCGCGCCGCCAGCCTCGCTCTAATCACCGCGTGGGAGCCGCACTTTGCGCGGCTCCGAGACGCTGCGTGGCTAGAAAGCGCGGTGCATAGCTTCCATCGCTGGATCGTGGGCTCGTGGTCGCCCCCATTCTGAGCCCAGCCGCAGGCGATTGTACAATGCTATGATCAGCTCCGTTCCGCTTCGCGCACCTTTGTTTTCACGCCGACGATGCTGCGAGCTGCCCAGGCAGCCGCGCAGGAAGAGATGCGCGCCGCCCGCGTAGCAGATCCACCACGCCGTGCGCATTTTCAGCGCGCGTTCGCAGCATCGCTGCGCCAGTCTGCATTCGCATCACCATTCCTGGTCACGCTCGAGAAGCGATTGGCTTCGTGGGGCCTTCCATTAGGCACAGACATTTTGGAGGAGCGCTGGAAGGCGCTCGCTGACGTTCTCGGTTCAGTGGAACCCAGCTGGCGCTGGGCCACGTTCAAGACACTGGCAGCGGGCTGGACCACCTCGTGCCGCATGCACGTACTGGCTCCGCGGGGCTGCATTTTTGGCTGCCAGGACATGCCTGACTCATTCCCCCACTACCTCGCCTGTCCTCGCCTCTTACGCCTCCTTTGGTCCCCTGACCCACCCCCTCTTCTCAACACTTTAATGCGGTGGGGCTTGGGCCCCTCGGCTGCATACCCCCCGGCGCCCAGCAACCTTTCGCTCCGCGAGACAGTTCGCAGGATCGTGCTGGCCTTCCACATTTACAATCAGATGCGCGCGGCTGCGCCTGCGTCCGAAACCGCAGCGCTAGCAGCTGCCCACGCTCTGATGCAGCGCTCAATCAATAGCGGGATGGGGTGGGACTATAGTCTGGGAGGGGCTCTCGCCGCTGCTAGTCGTTATACTCGGTAGCGCGCATCGGAACAGACACGCGCCCCCAGGGTACCCGCACTCCTCCTCCTCCTCCTCCTCCTCCTCCTCCTCCTCCTCCTCCTCCTCCTCCTCCCCTTCCTCCTCCTCCTCCTCCTCCTCCTCCTCCTCCTCCTCCTTCCCGTTCTTCCCTCTCCTGTCCCCCACCCTACCCCCCCCGCCCCTTTCGGGACAAGAGAGCCCCGCGAGGTCTCCACCCCACAGCAGTCGCAGCCGCCGGTCGCCCCCGTCTCTGGGCCGCCCGTGCCCGCGGCGCGCGGGCCGGCGGGCGCCCCCAGCCAGGCCGCCCAGCGCTGTCGTCGTTGCTGTTGCCGTCGCCGCGCGTCGTCGGTCGACGAACGTCGAGGGTGGCGCTGTCGTCGGTCGTGGGTTGTCGTCGGTCGTCGTTGATCGTCGCTCGTCGGTCGGCGGTCGGCGGTTGTCGGTCGTCGGTCGTCGGTCGTTCGTCGGTCGTCGTCGGTCGGTCGGTCGTCGGTCGTCGACGGTCGGCGGTCGTCGGTCGTCGGTGGGCGGTTGTCGGTCGTCGGTCGGCGGTCGTCGTGGATCGTCGCTCGTCGGTCGGCGGTCGTCGGTTGTCGGTCGTCGGTCGTCGGTCGTTCGTCGGTCGTCGGTCGTCGGTCGGTCGTCGGTCGTCGTCGGTCGGCGGTCGGCGGTCGTCGGTGGGCGGTTGTCGGTCGTCGGTCGTCGGTCGTCGGTCGTCAGTCGACGGTCGGTCGTCCGTAGTCAGTCGTCGGTCGTCGTCGGTCGGTGGTCGTCGGTCGCCTGTCGTCGGTCGTCGGTCGTCGGTCGTCGTCGGTCGGAGGTCGTCGGTCGTCGGTGAACGGTTGTCGGACGGTTGTCGATAGTGGCTCGTCGTCGGTCGGTCGTCGGTCGTCCGTCGTCGTCGGGCGTTGGCCGTTGCCGACGCATGAGGAGTAGGAGAGAGTAGTAGTAGTAGTAGTAGTAGTAGTGGTGGTAGTAGTAGTAGTAGTAGTAGTAGTAGTAGTAGTAGTAGTAGTAGTAGTAGTAGTAGTAGTAGTAGTAGTAGTAGTAGTAGTAGTAGTAGTAGTAGTAGTAGTAGTAGTAGTAGTAGTAGTAGTAGTAGTAGTAGTAGTAGTAGTAGTAGTAGTAGTAGTAGTAGTAGTAGTAGTAGTAGTAGTAGTAGTAGTAGTAGTAGTAGTAGTAGTAGTAGTAGTAGTAGTAGTAGTAGTAGTAGTAGTAGTAGTAGTAGTAGTAGTAGTAGTAGTAGTAGTAGTAGTAGTAGTAGTAGTAGTAGTAGTAGTAGTAGTAGTAGTAGTAGTAGTAGTAGTAGTAGTAGTAGTAGTAGTAGTAGTAGT